GTGTCCAATTGTCTGTATGTCTGTGTGTGTCCGATTGTCTTTATGTCTGTGTGTGTCCGATTGTCTGTATGTCTGTGTGTGTCCGATTGTCTGTATGTCTGTGTGTGTCCGATTGTCTGTATGTCTGTGCGTGTCCGATTGTCTGTATGTCTGTGTGTGTCCGATTGTCTGTATGGCTGTGCGTGTCCGATTGTCTGTATGTCTGTGTGTGTCCGATTGTCTGTATGTCTGTGTGTGTCCGATTGTCTGTATGTCTGTGTGTGTCCGCTTGTCTGTATGTCTGTGTCTCCGCTTGTTTGTATCTCTGTGTGTGTCCGATTGTCTGTATGGCTGTGCGTGTCCGATTGTCTGTATGTCTGTGCGTGTCCGATTGTCTGTATGTCTGTGTGTGTCCGATTGTCTGTATGTCTGTGTGTGTCCGATTGTCTCTATGTCTGTGTGTGTCCGATTGTCTGTATGTCTGTGTGTGTCCGCTTGTCTGTATGTCTGTGTGTCCGATTGTCTGTATGTGTGTGTCCGATTGTCTGTATGTCTGTGTGTGTCCGATTGTCTGTATGTCTGTGTGTGTCCGATTGTCTGTATGTCTGTGTGTGTGTCCGATTGTCTGTATGTCTGTGTGTGTCCGATTGTCTGTATGTCTGTGTGTGTCCGCTTGTCTGTATGTCTGTGTGTGTGTCCGATTATCTGTATGTCTGTGTGTGTCCGATTGTCTGTATGTCTGTGTGTGTGTCCGATTGTCTGTATGTCTGTGTGTGTTCGCTTGTCTGTCTGTCTGTGTGTGTCCGATTGTCTGTATGTCTGTGTGTGTCTGATTGTCTGTCTGTGTGTGTCCACGGTGCGCCGGGTGGCTACAGCACAGCAGGTTGGCACAGTAGGGGGCACAGGTGGTGCATCAGTCAGTCATCTCAGTCAGTCGACCCGTGTCACTTGGGTCTGCCCCGTGACCTCCTGCCAGCGGGCGTTCGACACTTCACGTGGCCTCAAGGTGCACATAGCCTGGCACAAGCGCCGTGGTGACGTCACTGCCACTTAGTGGCGAATGGCGCTTGTTGTTGTTGTCCGCTTGTCTGCGCCCGTGTCTGCCCGTGTCTTTCTGCCCACTTGTCCCTTAGCCCATCCGTCTGTTCGCTTGTCCGTCCTGTCCGTCTATCTGCCCGCGTTAAATATCTTGCTGTGGGATTTCCCGTGCCACCCACCAAACCAGCCTACCGGGCATCGCGAGCCACCGTGCTGCCTGTTTACAAAGGCTATACGGGTGACCTTTGCCTTTGCACGTAGCAGCGACCTCAACCACGACCCCTCCCCGGTGGCTGTAAATTAGAACACCCAGATCGCGTCCCTGAGAATGTACCGCACTCATCTCTCCCCAAGGAACCCCCCCAAACTCCCCGGTCAGCGTGCTTGCGATGACCCCCTACTTGCTGAACCCTCTCAAAACGCACGCGCGTACAGACACACAGACACACTCACACGCGCGTACAGACACACAGACACACTCACACGCGCGTACAGACACACTCACACGCGCGTACAGACACACAGACACACTCACACGCGTGTACAGACACACAGACACACACTCACACGCGCGTACAGACACACAGACACACACTCACACGCGCGTACAGACACACTCACACGCGCGTACAGACACACAGACACACTCACACGCGCGTACAGACACACTCACACGCGCGTACAGACACACAGACACACTCACACGCGTGTACAGACACACAGACCACACACTCACACGCGCGTACAGACACACTCACACGCGCGTGCAGACACACAGACACACTCACACGCGTTGTACAGACACACAGACCACACTCACACGCGTGTACAGACCACACTCACACGCGTGTACAGACACACAGACACACTCACACGCGTGTACAGACACACTCACACGCGTGTACAGACACACAGACACACTCGGGCGCGCGTTCTGTGTTATAACGGGCGCGCGTTGTGTTATAATGGGCGCGCGTTCTGTGTTATAACGGGCGCGCGTTGTGTTATAACGGGCGCGCTTCTGTGTTATAACGGGCGCGCGTTGTGTTATAACGGGCGCGCGTTGTGTTATAACGGGCGCGCGTTCTGTGTTCTAACGGGCGCGCGTTCTGTGTTATAACGGGCGCGCGTTGTGTCATAACGGGCGCGCGTTCTGTGTTATAACGGGCGCGCTTTCTGTGTTATAACGGGCGCGCTTTATTTGTTATTACGGGCGCGCGTTCTGTGTTATAACGGGCGCGCGTTCTGTGTTATAACGGGCGCGCGTTCTGTGTTATAACGGGCGCGCGTTCTGCGTCATAACGGTCACGAGTTCCACGTTATAACGGATACGCGCGGAAAAGTATCCCCGAGGGTGGATGATGGGTGGGTGGGTGGGAGTGGAGGGTGTGGAGGGTCGGTGGGTCGGTGGGTGGGGACACCGCGGTGGATTTTACGATGGGCGGACGAAGTTCAAGGAGTTGCCCTGGGTTCGTGAAGCCGAGAGAGAGAGATAGAGAGAGAGGGGGTGGGAGAGTCAACAACACAAAAAATATCCCCGCGGAATTTAATTCATCCCCTGGGGATCGGTGGCTGTCACGTTTGCGTGTTTTTTTTAAATGTTTGGGTGGTGGTGGTGGTGTATGGTGTTGCTGCTGTTGTTGATGGGTGTTTTTGATGGCACGGTGGGTGAGATAGATGTCTGTGATAGCGAGCGTGGCCACAAACACCACAAAACCCGGGTCGCCCTTTTTGTTTTGCCGAGGCGCTGATGGGGTGTTGGGTTTCTCCTTCCTCTGCACACTGCACTGAGGTAACTCGTTCATGGCTGCCCAGTGGATCTTGGCGGAGGGGGGAGGCCCCCAGGAACTGCTTCAGATCATCGCCCCGCGAGCGTGGGGAGTCGAACTCGGGGCGCCGGGTTCGGAGCGCTAACCGCTAACAACGCACTATTTTTATTATTATTATTTTGGATGGAAGGGTGGGTTGGTGGCACACACGGTAGTTGAAACGAATTACGTGGCGCTGCTGCTGCTCCTACTGTCTATTTAGACTTCATCATCCTCGGACCCCGCTGACGGGCGAACTGCTTTGTGTGTGTCTAGTTGTAGCCTCCCCCCCTGCAACTCCGAATAGCACGGTTGGCTACGTATGGTGCGAAAGAAGTTCAACATATATACAACACTGCCCATAGCCTTAACACTGCCCATAGACTCAACACTGCACCATAGACTAATCACTGCCCATAGACTCAACACTGCACCATAGACTCAACACTGCACCATAGACTCAACACTGCACCATAGACTCATCACTGCCCATAGACTCATAACTGCCTATAGACTCAACACTACCCATGGACTCAACACTGCCCATAGACTCAGCACTGCCCATAGACTCAACACTGCACCATAGACTCATCACTCCACCATAGACGCATCACTATACATAGACTCAACACTGCCCATAGACTCATCACTGCCCATAGACTCAACACTGCCCATAGACTCATCACTGCCCATAGACTCAACACTGCACCATAGACTCATCACTGCCCATAGACTCAACCCTGCACCATAGACTCAACACTGCCCATAGACTCAACACTGCACCATAGACTCAACACTGCCCATAGACTCAACACTGCACCATAGACTCATCACTGCCCATAGACTCAAAACTGCACCATAGACTCAACACTGCCCATAGACTCATCACTGCCCATAGACTCATCACTGCCCATAGACTCAACACTGCACCATAGACTCAACACTGCCCATAGACTCAACACTGCACCATAGACTCAGCACTGCCCATAGACTCAACACTGCACCATAGACTCATTACTGTCCATAGACTCAACACTGCCCATAGACTCAACACTGCACCATAGACTCAACACTGCACCATAGACTCAACACTGCCCATAGACTCAGCACTGCACCATAGACTCAACACTGCCCATAGACTCATCACTGCCCATAGACTCATCACTGCCATAGACTCAACACTACCCATGGACTCAACACTGCCCATAGACTCAGCACTGCCCATAGACTCAACACTACCCATGGACTCAACACTGCCATAGACTCAACACTGCCATAGACGCATCACTGCCCATAGACGCATCACTGCCACTGGACTCAACACTACCATGGACTCAACACTGCCCAAAGACTCAACACTGCCCATAGACTCAACACTACCCATGGACTCAACACTGCCCAAAGACTCATTACTGTCCATAGACTCAACACTGCCCATAGACTCAACACTGCACCCATAGACTCAACACTGCCTATAGACTCAACACTGCCCATAGACTCAACACTGCACCATAGACTCAACACTGCACCATAGACTCAACACTACACCATAGACTCAACACTGCCCATAGACTCAACACTGCCCATAGACTCGCACCATAACCGTCGCGCCACCGCTCCCCGCACAAAGACAAAGGTTCCCCGTGTAGCCTGTAACAGGCTGTTGGGGCAAGTGTTGTTAGCGAGCAACGGCGCCTATGAAGGCTACCGGCACTGTGGCACACGAGGGGGTGGGTGGCCAGCACCACGCCCGGCCGCCTTTGTCTCCCCAATGGCGATGTTTACACTTCGCACCAGGTACTCATGTTGAGGCTGAGTCGACTACTCACTCACACACACGTACACCATTATCACCCTATCACCAACTCATCCACACATCTCCCACAAAGACAAAGACCCAACACTACTCACTCACCCAACACCCACTCACTCACCCACCACTCACCCCACCACTCACCCAACACCACTCACTCACCCACCACTCACCCCACCACTCACCCACCACTCACTCAACCACCACCCACTCACACAAATATCCCCCGTGTAGCCTTAACAGACTGTTGGGGCAAGTGCTGTTAGCGAGTAGCAGCAGCACCTATGAAGGCCGGCACGGCACACGAGGGGGTGCTAGACCAGCTACACACACACGCATATCCACACACACACAGTACTTACATTTAACTGTTCCCTAGTGACGATTTCTTGAATAGGCAACATTTTCCAAGTTGTCGTTTAAATCTGTTAGAAAAAAAGCGCTTGGAACGACATTGATAAGGCGCGTATGTGCGTCTGTGTCTGTCCGTGTGTATCCCTCTGTGTATGTGTACGTGTCTGCAAACCTGTGTGCATACCTCAGTGTGTACGTCTCTGTGTATATACGTACGTCAGTGTGCTCATGTGTATCAGTTTGTGTCTGTGTGTGTCTGGGTGTGCCAGTGTGTATGTCTGTACACTTGCAATGTGTGTATGTCTCCGATGACTCCGTGTCCCCGTGTCTCCGATGACTCCGTGTCCCGTGTCTCTGTGTCTCCCGGTGTCTCCGTGTCCCCGTGTTTCTCAGTGTTGCCCGGTGTCTATGTATCTCTGTGTCTATCTGCGCCTCCGGTGTCTCCGCGTCTCTGTGTCTCACGGTGTCTCTCTGCGTCTCCGTGTCCCCGTGTCTCTGTGTCTCCCGGTGTCTCCGTGTCCCCGTGTTTCTCAGTGTTGCCCGGTGTCTCTGTGTCTATCTGCGTCTTCGGTGTCTCCGTGTCTCTGTGTCTCTCTGCGTCCCCCGTGTCTCCGTGTTTCCCCCGTGTCTCCGGGTCACCGTATCTCTGTGTCTCCCGTATCTCTGTGTCTCCCGGTGTCTCTATCTCTATGTCCCTTTGTTTCTCAGTGTATCTCTGTGTTCTCTCTGTGTCCCCCTTGTCTCCGTGTCCCCGTGTCTCCGGGTCACCGTGTCTCCCCGTATCTCTGCGTTCTCCCGGTGTCTCTATGTCTCTTGCCCCCCTGTTTCTCCGTATCGCCCGGTGTCTCTGTGTCTCTCTGCGCCTCCGCGTGTCTCCGCGTGTCTCTGCGTCTCCCGGTGTCTCAATGTCTCTGTGCCCCCCTGTTTCTCAGTATCGCCCGGTGTCTCTGTGTCTCTCCGCGTGTCTCCGCGTCTCTGTGTCTCCCGGTGTCTCTATGTCTCTGTGCCCCCCCTGTTTCTTCCGTATCGCCCGGTGTCTCTGTGTCTCTCTGCGCCTCCGCGTGTCTCCGCGTGTCTCTGCGTCTCCCGGTGTCTCAATGTCTCTGTGCCCCCCTGTTTCTCAGTATCGCCCGGGTCTCTGTGTCTCTCCGCGTGTCTCCGCGTCTCTGTGTCTCCCGGTGTCTCTATGTCTCTGTGCCCCCCTGTTTCTCCGTATCGCCCGGTGTCTCTGTGTCTCTCTGCGCCTCCGCGTGTCTCCGCGTGTGTCTGCGTCTCCCGGTGTCTCAATGTCTCTGTGCCCCCCTGTTTCTCCGTATCGCCCGGTGTCTCTGTGTCTCTCCGTGTGTCTCCGCGTCGGGATAAACAAGGCTGGAGTTTGCTTCTCGACAGAGAAATCAGACCCACGGCAACTTCCTCCTTCCGCTCGACATCAGCAATTCACAAAGACAAAGATCCCCCGTGTAGCCTGTAACAGACCGTTTTTGGAGTGTTGGTGATGGGGGGGGAGTTTGCTGTTTGTCGCAGCAGTAGCGAGTCAGCAGCACCTACGGAAGGCTGGCACGGTGGTGTGGCACACAACGAGCTGTGGGTGGGTGGGTGTGCAATATCATCAGCACCAACTCGCCAACGCTGTGGGGTTCTTAACCTTTACGCTTGTAGCCTTGTACCCCCCCCCCACCTCCGCCCGCCCGCTTTGATTCTCAAACGTCAAAAAATAATGTACAATGTGAACAAACGCATGTGGTTTGATGAAACAGAGGCAGTTGTTTAAAACGTCGTCGGTCTTTCGCGACCGATGTTATCCACAACAGAGGTTTTTTTTTTCGGAGGTCAGATCGCGTGAACATAAGCGGACGCCTTTTGGCGTCCTCTGGTCTAGCGCCGTTTTGAGACGAGGCTCAAAAGAAAGCCGTCTCTGGTGTGGACCAATCAGTTTCAAGGACAATGCATCATATATTATCAGTGTGGTTTTTTTTTTGCATTTTGGCCACAAGTATTGTGGTTAATGCAGACATGATTCCTTGTAAAAGGTTTCAGTTTTGTTGCCAGAAAAAAAGGGAAAAACCCCTATTATTATATTTTGGTACTGGCAAAGGAGGTCTAATGATGTAGATGCTCACCCCGAGCCCTCATTACTCTGATAGTGGCATTGTCTTTGAGCTGTGTGACGCCTTTTGGCGTCCTCTGGTCTAGCGCCGTTTTGAGACGAGGCTCAAAAGAAAGCCGTCTCTGGTGTGGACCAATACGTTTCAAGGACAATGCATCATATAATATCATCAGAGTGTGTTTTATGTTTGCATTCCGGCCACAAGTATTGTGGTTAATGCAGAGATGATTCCTCGTAAAAAGGTTTCAGTTTTGTTGCCAGAAAAAAAGGGGAAAAACCCCTATTATTATATTTTGGTACTGGCAAAGGAGGTCTAATGATGTAGATGCTCACCCCGAGCCCTCATTACTCTGATAGTGGCATTGTCTTTGAGCTGTGTGACGCCTTTTGGCGTCCTCTGGTCTAGCGCCGTTTTGAGACGAGGCTCAAAAGAAAGCCGTCTCTGGTGTGGACCAATCAGTTTCAAGGACAATGCATCATATATTATCAGAGTGTGATTATGTTTGCATTCTGGCCACAAGTATTGTGGTTAATGCAGACATGATTCCTCGTAAAAAAGGTTCCAGTTTGGTGTTTTAACATCTTAACACAGCTGTTTTTGTTGCCAGAAAAAAAGGCGAAAACCTATTCTCAAATATAAATGTGTCGTTAACCCGCCACCACCCGACAGGGCCAATTAGCAAGAGTGTGTCACGTAAACAGAACGTGCCGATGCTCCATGTAATTGCTGGCGAAAAGTCGCACTCGGATTGTAATGTCGTGGATTTGCTCTCCAACACACAAACCGTCTCGTGCTGTGCTGCGTAGTTCAACGACTCTGGAGACATCAACTGCAGAGGCTTCTCCTTTATTTCCTCACGCTCACACGACTGCAACTCGGCAGCACGGAATACAACGCTGACAGTCTGTCTCGAAGGCGCCGACTTGACCAGATCGCTGGCTGACTATCTCGCGACGATGGCGATGAAGCGATGACGAAGCGATGACGAAGCGATGACGACCGTGACTCCGCCCCGCTACGACAGCCCAGAACCCCGTTCCTCGCTCCCTTATATCCTCCCAACGTGGCCGTGGCTCCGCCTTGGCCACGCCCACTTTCTCGAACTTTCAGCTGGTTCTGGGAAACCCCCAGACGGATCTCCTCTCTGACCCTTGGCCCAGAGAGTTCCCCCTTGTGGTCGCTCCCGTGTATTTGCCTTTTTTTTCTGCCCATGCTGTTCCCACACCCGCAGTTACTTCTGTGCCGCTAGTCAGAGCACTGTCTCTACACTAGCAACGAATTGGCACGTCACCTGCTCTACCCTCCTCCTGGTGTTAGGGGACGCTATGCCAGAAAGTTCGATATAGGGTGCTTCAACATTTTTTTTTAACACTTCCGAGAATTAGCAACGATACCACAAGGAATGTGCCGCCTCCGGGCTCCAGAGACCACTTGGAGGAGATTCCAGGCACGCGTTGACAATGATGGCGCACAAGTGGAGACTCTTTAACTCTTTGAAGCCATTAACATGACATTTGTTTTTCATGTTAAGCCTATCATCTGCTCTTTTACCATTAAAAACGATAGTCCCATATTAGTGTTTAAAACATTTTTGACGTACCCTGTATAGGCTGGAACAGGGGGTGGGTCTCAGGTGCCCCCGCTAAGATTCTGCAGGATGTACCGTGAGGAGTTACCTATTATGCACCCCACGGCTCACCATGCGGCGATCTAAGCTGATTGTGCATGTTGATTAACTGCAATTAACCCAACTAAGGACGGGTGTCCGTTGTAATTTATGTGACTACATTAACCCCGTCTGTGAACTTTCTTACCCGATTTCGCTTACAAGTGACGGCATTACATTTAAACCCTTACTCCATTTAAGGCCCGAAGCAGCAGTAGGAAGATGTATCCACAACTCTGTGGCTCTCGCCTGATGATGCTGGTTGTTGTTGTTGTAGTATTTACTGGCGAAACGTCACTGCTACTCGAACTGTAAATGTTGAAGCAAATTTACTCTCAAACACACAACTGGTGAGTGCTGTACTAGTATACTACACTATACACTACACACTACACTATACACTACACTATACACTACACTATACATACAATACACACTACACTATACACTACAATTGTAAATGTTGTAGTGGGTTTACTCTCCAACACACAACTGGTGAGTGTTGTACTATACTACAATATACACTACACTATACACTACACTATACACTACACTATATACTACACTATATACTACACTATACACTACACTATACACTACACTATACACGACACTACAATTGTAAATGTTGTAGTGGGTTTACTCTCCAACACACAACCGGTGAGTGTTGTACTATACTACACTATACACTACACACTACACTTTACACTACACTATACACGACACTACAATTGTAAATGTTGTAGTGGGCTTATTCTCCAACACACAACCAGTGAAGGCTGTACTGGTATCCTACACTAAACATACACTATACATTACACTATACACTACACTATACACTACACTATACACTACACTACAATTGTAAATGTGGTAGTGGGTTTACTCTCCGACACACAACCGGTGAGTGTTGTACTATACTACACTATACACTACACACTACACTTTACACTACACTATACACTACACTATATACTACACTATATACTACACTACACACTACACTATACACTACACTATACACTCCACTACAATTGTAAATGTGGTAGTGGGTTTACTCTCCAACACACAACCAGTTAGTGCTGAACTAGTGTACTACACTAAACACTACACTACTATAAACTACATACTACACTATACACTACAATTGTAAATGTTGTAGTGGGTTTACTCTCCAACACACAACCGGTGAGTGTTGTACTACACTACACTATACACTACACACTACACTTTACACTACACTATACACTACACTACAATTGTAAATGTTGGAGTGGGTTTACTCCCCGACACACAACCAGTTAGTGCTGAACTAGTGTACTACACTATACACTACACTACTATAAACTACATACTACACTATACACTACAATTGTAAATTTTTAGTGGGTTTACTCTCCAACACACAACCGGTGAGTATTGTACTACACTACACTATACACTACACACTACACTTTACACTACACACTACACTACAATTGTAAATGTGGTAGTGGGTTTACTCTCCGACACACAACCA